ATCACAAATCTGACATGCTTTCACTCCATATCTTACTTTACATACTTCGTACCAAAGCCAGTAAAATAATTCTTCAGCCTTTATGTGTAATTTCTAACTGAATATACAGGTCACTTCGAAATAGTTTTGCAAGCTCGCATGACTCTAAAAATACCTGCAATGTTTTGGACATCAAGTCTATCACTAACGTTGAAGCTTAAAACACTTTAAATCACGGATGTATTTGAAATGTGATACTCAGCAAAGCAGTGTGAAGAGAACTGGAGACATGCATTTCACTTGACACCAGCTCAAAGGCAGTAGAAAAATAGAGCTAAAATAAATACAGCAGTGCACCACACTATAGCATATGCCAAATAGACCACATAGAAATGACCATACGTGTTCTTATTCTTTAAGTCATGCACAGAAAGGCTATTAAAAAAGGGCAGAAAGTTTATCACTAAGCAGGGATGTGATTTATTTCTCACTGTAATTTTACAACAGTATTTGGAGCTCAAAACAGGGATTGACAGCAGGGCGTCAGAACACAGTGCATGTCTTTCTGAAATGCCCCTGCAGCAACAGTATGCTAACCTGGCTTCCTTCTTAGACCTGAATTTTAAGGGACATCTCAGAGGTGAATTAGCCATTGGCAGACATGCTCTACCACAAGAAAAACAATCCACTTTCCTCAAAGGGTGCTAAACCTCTACATCCTCCACATCATGAAAGCGAAGGCCAGTATTTCAAGTCTGAATGCCCTAGAACTAGGTAGAGCATGATACCAATACTGAGAAGGGTTGAGCACACCCTGATTTTCTGTCTGAAATGAAAGCTTATGAGTTGAAAGGTTACACCACACCTTGATTCACTGAATCAGGCTGTATCTGAAGAAATTAGGGGAGCAGAAACATTGTCTTCCTGTAGCACCTACCCAGTGAAACAGCACCTCAGTTTTAACGACACTTGTCAGCTTCATTTACCATGAGGACTTCTCAGAATGTTATCCTTAATTTAAAACCTTTGCAATTGAGAATTGATCATGGACTACCCGTAGCTTTGAAAACAGTTTTTGGCGTGACCAGCAATAGAAAGAAACTTACTTTTGCAGAAGTTCTAGATTCTGGTGAATGCATTTGATAAAAGCAGTACGAGTTCATCTACTTCTATGTGGCTTGTTGGACAAATTTCCAGAAATAATGTCAGCACTGTGCTGATGTCCCACTTCTTAGCTTGCTTCTCACATATTATTAAGAAATGAGTTAATAAACATTTACTAAGGGAAGACTCTCTGCTTTTTTTTTTTAGAAATGCACACAAAACCTACTTGTTTTTGTGCACCTAATGACAAACCAAATATGAAAAAATACAGAAGCACAACCAAAATAATTCTAGGTGAAGAAATACAACCTTAGCTACAGTGCAGTTACAGACAGCTCTGTTACATTACACCCTTTATTACATATTTATCATGCTTGATACGCATAGTTATGTATAACAGCTAATACCAGGAAAGTGAACAGTTACCATTTCAGGACATGTGTGCTTGAGAATGGAACATCTCTTACTTCATGGAGTGAAGAATATATTGTCTTCACAAAATTCTTAGCAAATTTCATTACAACAACTCATACAGTATTAGGTTTGCATTATGTCATAAATCTAACTTAAACTTACAAAAATGCACCTGACTCAAAGTTAACTTTATATTTTGTGGTATCCTAAAAATTTTATTTTAGGTATTGATTTGTAATCTGATTTGTTATATCTAACCCAAATTTGCTGAGTTGGGTTTTGTGGTTTTGCTTTTCTAAAGCCACTTTGAGAATAAATCCTAGATACTTTATCACCAAATATACTCCTAAATACTGATACATTCTGTGATCATCAGTGCTACTCTGTCCACCACTATAACTGTGCCAGAGTAAGAAATATCATTTGACCGAATTTTATAGCATGTGATTATGTCAGAACATGCCACTGAAGAAGTGTCTCCCCAGCTTCTGGCAACTATGTCGGTTAGTATCATGAAGCATTAACAGACCTGAAATAATGGTTCCTGTATAGCAAAAGCATTATTCTATTTTCACTTCTGTTACTCGCTATACAACATTGGATTGTTTCACTATTTTTTTTTTTTTTAATATGACTCTATTTATAGGACATACCCTTTAGAGGTCTAGCTGAAAAATCTACTTCTTTTCCTGAAATGCTTAGAAACCCACCAACACATACAAAAACTTCAAACTATTTTTAAAAACAATTATTACAACATTTATGACAATAAATACCTCTATTACACTGCTCACCTTCTGTTATTTTCTGTTAGGCTCCCTCCTTAAAACTAATGAAATGTAGGAAGATCAACTCTGTGAAATTCTACAGACACTCATTTACCAGGCTGCCCAGCTCTGTCACCCACAGCACTAACAATTGCATGAATCCACAGGCATTTTAGGGAATTATTCTGGGTTTTCTAGATACCTTTTCTAAAAGAATAGTGTTGACATTCTAAATAGTATCCAGTCACTGACTGGAACCATCCTCAGCCTGATTTATTAATGAGCACAGTCTTAAAGTGGCAGACATCCTTTTCACTGATACAAATGTGGACCACACTGGCCCTCCCACTGAAGACCTATCTGTTTCATGATCCAGGACATCAACGCTAAATACACCAGAGCCCACAGAAGCAGGATCTGCTTCTCTTTGAGGAGACTCCAGTAGTCTACCCTCTCAGTAACTGGTTTGCATAACTACAAAACCCTGAATCTGCGCTTTTGATTTAGTACAGCATTAAGGAACTCCTCAGGTCCTGCAGGTCAGCTGCAGATGGATGACAAACAAGTGCAAATGGATTTGTGTCATCCTACGAAAAACACAAGGGTGTACCCATTATACCATTGTGGGTTAGAGGCTGCAAGACAAGAAAGAGGCAAACTCATGACAACAATTAAAAAGGATTGGGTTTAAGCACCATCCACATCCTTCACATCAGCTATCTGCAAGTTGGTATGCAGCACACCTCTGTAGTGACTGGATTTGTAAAATTCCAGTCATGCTGCAGTTGCTCCTCTCAATTTCTTTGTTTTTGAAGAAAATTAGAAAACCACTGTTTCCAGTGTGTGTGCCAAAAGTGTATGTGTCACTACATGGCACCTATTTGAATGAATAGAAAATCTGAAAGCAGAATCTATGCTAATTACATGTCTATACTGAGGGTCGGTAGCGAGTCTTAAGGGTACTGACATAAATTAAAATAGAAGATTCAGCTTCTTCTGAAGACATTAGAACTTAATTCACTCCAAGGCTGACAAGTGTGAACAATTTCAGATTTCAAGACTGTCTTGGTTTTGGCTGTGACAGAGTTAATTTTCTTCCTAGTAGCTGATAGAGTGCTTTGGATTTGGTGTGATAATAATGTTGATAACACACTGCTGTTTCAGCTGTTACTAAGTAGCACTTACCCTAAGCTAAGGGGATCTTTCAGTTTCCTATGCTCTGCCAGCAAACAGGTGTACAAGAATCTGGGAGGGAGCATGGCCAGGACAGAGGACCTGAACTGGCCACAGGGATATTCATACCATAGGGTATCATGCTCGGTACACAAACTGGGGGCAGTTGGCCAGTTGGGGCAGATCGCTCCTTGGGCATCAGTCCCTGGTGAGCAATTGCATTGTGCATCACTTGTCTTTTCTTGTAATTTTCATTACAATTATTAATACTATTATTTATTGTTGGTTCTATTATATTTTATTCTATTTTAGTTATTAAACTGTTCTTACCTCAATCTACAAGTTCTACTTCTTTTTTTTTTTTTTTTTTTTTTTTTTTTTTTTTTTTTTTTTTTTTTTTTT